CGCCACCCCCCCAGTGTGTCCGCCCGGCGTCCCCCGGCGTGCTCTGAGTGCGGGGCGGGAGTGCCCCGTCACACTCTGCCCCGGGCTTCCTGGAATCAGCCGCTGATCAGTTTCAGCAGCAGCTGACTTGGGGACGCCTGGGGTTCTTAAGTTGAATCTGTATGTAAGTCAGAACTGGTGTCCAGATTCAGCGGCTGAATCTGGATGCCAGTTCCGACTTACATACAGATTCAACTTAAGAACAAACCTACAGTCCCTATCTTGTACGTAACCCGGGGACTGCCTGTATTCTTTTTGCATATTTATTACATTTAATTAGATTTTAGTTACAGAGAGGTAGCCATGTTAGTCTGATTTTGGTAAAACAAAAAAAGCAGTCACATAGCACTTTAAAGACTAACAAGATAGTTTATTAGGTGATGAGCTTTCATGGGGCAGACCCACTTCTTCAGATCATATTCTGAAAGCGAATTAGCATGATCATTATATAACAGAGGGATACAATGAAAAAAGTACAACTGACAAATCAGCTACATTTTTTTTATTATATCCCTCTGTTATAATGGTCATGCCAATTCGCTTTCAGAATATGATCTGAAGAAGTGGGTCTGCCCCATGAAAGTTCATCATCTAATAAACTATCTTGTTAGTCTTTAAAGTGCTATGTGACTGCTTTTTTAGATTTTAGTTGTGAGTGTACCATCTTCCCATTTTTAAAGGAACTGGCCTTTAATTCTGGATTTAAGAAACAGATAGCTTACTAGACGACAGAATTTATCTTTTATTATAACTTTAAAATGATGCAAATTTAGGTGGAACTTTTAAATATATTATGTTTATGAATTGAATCTCTGTTTCAGTTAAAGACACCTGAAATAATTTTACATTCTGTAGAAATATTTTAGAATAGAAAACAGAATGGAAAGAATGTAATATTTAATGTACTTAAACCAGCCCAATTTCTTGAAAGAAATCTACTTCTATAAACCATTGTGCCTGTGCAGTCTAGTTAATTTCAGCATGACTATATACCTGTGGATGCCTTTGCACAAATGTCCATACGTCAGTATGGCCCCACAGTATGCTAATATCTTTATGGCTGACCTAGAACAACGTTTCCTATACTCCCGTCCCCTTTTACCGCTTCTCTACTTACGCTACATCGATGACATCTTTATGATCTGGACGCATGGCCAAGAGACGCTGGAGACATTCCACAGAGATTTCAACAACCTACACCCCACCATCAACCTCAGCCTGGACCATTCTACCAGAGAGATCCATTTCCTGGACACCAACGTACAAATCAACAATGGAATATTAGACACCACCCTCTACAGAAAACCCACTGACTCATACAGTTACCTACATGCTTCCAGCTCCCATCCAGCACACACCATACGATCCATCATCTATAGCCAAGCCCTTCGATACAACCGCATCTGCTCTAATCCCACTGACAGAAACCAGAAACTTCAGGATCTCTACCAAGCATTTATAAACCTCAACTACCCACCCGGAGAAATAAAAAAGCAAATTGAAAGAGCCCGATGAATACCTAGAAACCATCTACTTCAAGACAGACCCAAGAAAACCAACAATAGAACACCACTTGTCATCACCTACAGCTCCCAACTTAAACCTGTCCAACACATTATCAATAAACTACAGCCTATACTGGAACAGGATACTAAACTCCAAGAGGCTCTGGGAGACAGACCCATAGTCTCCTATAGACAACCACCTAACCTCAAGATGGTTCTTACCAACAACCACAGGACATACCACACTAATACCAACCCTGGTACCTTCCCTTGCAACAAACCCCGTTGCCAGCTTTGTCCACATATTCATTCTGCTGATACCATTATTGGACCTAACCAAGTAAGTTATAAGATCAAGAACACATATTCCTGCGCATCCAGAAATATAATCTACGCTATCATGTGCCGAAAGTGTCCGTCTGCTATGTACATTGGACAAACATCTCAGACACTTCGCCAAAGGATTAATGCCCACAAAACAGATATCAGACAAGATCACAAAGAAAAAACAGTTTCTTGCCATTTTAACCAGAAAGGACACTCTCTCAATGACTTAACCACCTGCATTCTGCTACAAAGACCTTTTACATCTGCACTTGAAAGGGAATCCTCTGAACTGTCATTCATGTTAAAATTCGACACTTGCCAACAAGGACTTAACAAGACTTTGAATTCTGAAATGTGATTTGTCCTTTTCATATGTGTTCATTTTTTTTAATTGTATCCTTTGGTATATATGGTTGTGACTATTTTCTTCCACTATTTGATCTGAGGAAGTGGGTCTGGCCCACGAAAGCTCATCATCTAATAAACCATCTTGTTAGTCTTTAAAGTGCTACATAGTCCTGTATTTTGTTTCATACGTCAGTAGATAGCCAAGCAGATAACTAGCTCTTTTATGGGCGAAAGGGAGAAACTATTTGAAGCAGAGTATTGTTTCTTAGTGTATACTGGAGGATGGGGGATGTCTTGTACAAATCTGTTGGTGGGGGGTGGGTAGTGTAAATAACTTGAAAAGTGTGTGTGTATATATATATATATATATATATATTTTTGGTTTTTTTTGTTTTGTTTTTTTTCCCCTCTGTGTGGAGATTTATAGGAATAAAATGTTTGTTTAGATGAGGATTGTGTTGTACCAGTGTGGGGAAAGAGAGGATATATATATATATATATATAATTTATAAAACAGATTCTCTTATGTTATGTTCCCAATATACAAGAAAAAAAAATTTGCTTAGTAGTTTGGGCAGTAGTTTGACTGTTTTAGCAAATACATTTGTAGTTATTTTTTTACATTTCCTTTTATCAGGTGAAAAAGGAATTGGAAAAACAACTGGAAAAAAGCTGTGTTACAAAGGCTCTACTTTCCATCGTGTGGTTAAAAACTTCATGATTCAGGGTGGAGACTTCAGTGAAGGTAAAACACAACATTATTTCACTCTCTGTGCGAAGAGATTTAATTGCATTTTCAGAAGGGTAGCCGTGTTGGTCTATTCAGCAAAAACAACGAGGAGTCCTGTGGCACCTTAGTGTATGTCTGTGCACCAGGGCTAAAGTCGAATTAAGTGCGCAACTTCAGCTACATCAATTGCGTAGCTTAAGTTGAAATAACTTCGCTCTGCTTTAGGTCTACACAGCAGGACGTCAAAGGAAGAACACTCTTCCTTCGACTTCCCTTACTCTTCATAAAACGAGGGTTACAGGAGTTGGAACAAGACATCCCCCAGCTTGATATTATTTCAAAATAAAGGCTTGTAATGTAGACGCGCTCTGTTATTTTGGAATAACGTCAGTTATTCTGAAATAATGCTGCTGTGTACGTACAGTTAGAGAGTAGCACATTTATTTGGGCATAAGCTTTTGAAATAAATGTGTTAGTTTTTAAGGTGTCACAGGACTCCTTGTTTACAAAATTTAAAATTGCTAAGAAATTCCTTAAACGTTTCTATGTTTTGTAGATATTAAAGTAAAATATTACATTATTTTTCATTCTTATATGCTATTAGTATGATTAATTTAGAGTTGCGTGTATTGTGGAGTCTGTGCAATACCATAAGAATCCATTTAGGTATTTTCTGATATTGAGGTTCCACAATGTTCTTCATAGATGTTAAAATATATAGTTTTAAAACACAGATTTCCTTGCCTGGGTTGCTAACACTATCATTTTAAAAAAAAACTTAAATCTGATTAAAAGTAAATCTTTTTCTTTGCATTTTGCTCAGTGTGGGCAATACTAGTAATGCTAACTCTGATTCTTTTGTGCTGGTACAACATTGCATTACAGGGATGTAACTGTGAATAAATACAATAGTAATAAATGCATTGAAAATGAAAAGTCAAAGCATCAAGGACTTACTCTACTTCTTTTCCTCCAATGCACACACAACTTAGTGTCCCTCTCTCATCTCTTCCCTAAAATGTTTGCCCTCCCCAAGGTGGATTTTTCTTTACCCCTGCAGTAATATTTACTGGCATTGCAGATTGAACTCTCTCAACTGGTAAAAGGCTCTCCCCAGGTATGTTGTACCAAGGAAGAAGCCAGGGGACAGCTATAGAGAGAATAGTTTTGGAAGAAGTAGCTACTTTTTCACTTCCATGGCATCTGAGCCACAGCTGGAATTTCACAGCAGGGAAAACTGTCAACCTTGTTTGTTAGCTCTCTTTGATACCTGCTGCTACTTTTTCCTGTTTCTTTCTGTTTGGAGGCCAATATTTACTAAGGGAAAGGAGAAGCCTTTGGAGCCTAGCTTGTTTTTCCAGTCTCTCTCTTCCCCAGGGCAAGCTTTACTGGATTGTGAACTACATCACTGGTGCAAAGGTCTGGGTTGCAGATTCTTTAGGGCAATATTTAAAGCCAAACAAATATATTTCATGAAATTAAAAGAAACTGTTCATGTTAGACATTGTAAAACTTTTGTATAAAATCTCAGTGTTGGCTTTTTAAAACTTGAGTGTATCCCTTTCGTTCGTATTGTGTGTAAATAATATCTTTTGTTACTATTAAAAAACTGTTTACTTTATAAACTTAATCTTGTGATAAGGTTTAACACATGCTTTTACAACATAGGTAATGGAAAAGGAGGTGAATCTATTTATGGTGGATATTTTAAAGGTAAGGGCTGACATGTCTTTATGGTCTGTTGCTTCATTTCTGAGATAAAAACAACTTTTGATTCCCAAATTATTTAATGTGGAAAGGTCTGCTTATAGATTATCTTTTGCATGAAACTAATGTTGCATGACTATTATTTTTATATGCATGAATTTCAAATACATTTATTGAGATATTTAATGTTAACTGACAAAATTAATTAAGGCTAACTTTACTGGTTAAACATGACTTTCAGCATGGAGGTTAGGCAACTTTATTCATGAAAACTCCTATCTTCCTGCCTAAAACTGTCAACATATTCTTTTGTTTATAGAGAATGTGGTCTTTTGCAAAATGAAAAGGTAAGAGACACAAGCTCAGTAACACAAATTCAAACTCTGTTCCCTTGCACCCTCCCTAGTAAATATATGGCCAACTGATAATATATCAGTTTGTGGATGGATATCTGTATTGCGTGGAGACGTGAAGAATTCTGTATCTAACTTTTTTTGCGGGAAAATTATTTGAAGAATAAATACTTGAAATTATTCCCCATTCTAAACAGTCCCTATGTCATTAAGAACAATGTCCATTTTTTCCCTCCAAGGTTTGTATATTTAATGTTTGGTTTCTAAATATATGTGACTGTATTTATATTCTGTGCAAGTTTATTTATTTGCTTGCATAGAGTAGATAGATAAATGTACACTCTTCAGCTTCTTACTAAAACTTCTTTGAAAAGAAAGAGGTGTGAGAATTTGTAATGGTAATCAGTGCTTTTAGGAGACAAGGCACAGTATAATTTTTAAATGCAAAGAATGGGAAGTTATTGTGCTATTCCAGTCTTGACACAAGCTGTAAGGTGATTCAAGTATTGTGTGCTATGAGCAATTCTTTGTAGTTAGGTGCATGTTGTGAAGTTTCTTTAATATATTATAAGGAAGAATAGTTTAGATGTAAGAATATTACAACCTTTAATTGAAAGCAAGTATATGACAGATCTCTACTCTAAAAAGTTCTCAGTTCTTGTTTCTAAAGAATGCACTTGGATTGGTAAGTGCTAAACATCTGGTACTGTATATTTGTCTGCACTCTTAAACAATAATGATACAACCTTAAGTCTAATATGATTTTTGTCTGTAGTAAATTAGTTGTGTAATTTTTTTATTTTGCTGATAGAAAGTATTTTGACTACACAATTGTGTGTCCTCTTAGTTCATTGGATTAAATTATACATTATTTTTCAACCTCTAATCTGTCTTTTACGGTTGGGTTGAAGAGGAGGACATGTTTTACTCCTCTCATGCACGTGTTACTATTAAATTGGTTTCCTTTTGGATTTTGAAATGTCAAGTTTTGGGTTCTGCAGATTGATGCAGCGCACTAGTTGGCATCCTGACAGGGAAAAACCTGTTTAATTGTGTCTTCCTACCTAAGTAATACTCAGCATGATGTGTAAATGATAGTATTGAATATGTTTAGCCATGTTTTAGGATGGGAGAGGGAAAGTGTTATCAAAGTGGCTTTCTTTCAGGAAACATTGTTAGGTTTAAATTGTTGTAAGTGTATGATGAACTCAGAGTTGTTTTGAAGACAATAACAAAACATTTTAAATACATTTATTCTTAACAATGTGTTTCAGACTGTTTCTAAAGCAGTTGTGACCTTTTTAAAAGCAAACTACTGTATTCTTTACTTGGTATTCTGACTTAACAAATATACATGTCTCCACGCTTAATTTTTGAGACATTTGCTTAGATTTCTTTTTAAGTTTCTTTAGTGTGCAGAAGAAGAATTTCTCCTTTTACTGTCCATGTGCTAAGAAAATTATACTTGTGTTCACTTATAGGGGAAGCTGATTAACATGTGCTTTTTCTTCAAACAGATGAAAACTTTGTTCTCAAACATGACAGAGCATTCCTTTTATCAATGGCAAACCGAGGGAAACACACCAATGGATCCCAATTTTTCATGTGAGTAGATAATTTGAGAGCTGAACTTTTCTTAAACAAAGAAGCGCTGTTCATGAGAAAGATGGTATTGCTAAATTAAAAGCAGATATGGATGTTATTAGCCTTAGTGTAATTTTTTACTAGAATCCAATGAATACCTGCTATCTCTGAGCTATTGTAATTAGGAAACATTAAATACAATAATCTCAGTTTATTTGTATTTTCCTAGAATTGGAATATTGATCATATATGAATGTTACTTGTTTATTGCTTGTTTTTCTAAAATAGCATTGGCCTAAGCTTTGTTTTCTCTAACATCATATTTATGACACAAATTATAATTGACCATTTATAGACTCCACAACTTCAACATTTTATGTGGAAGACAAGATATCTTATATATTGACAGTTCAAGTGTCAACAGCTGCATGTATTTTCCATAATGTAGTCTGTTTTCTGGTTTTGTAGGATGTTTTTACTTACAATTTGAATCTTTTGCTGCAGTGCCTTCCTTCTGTGTTGCTGCATAGTACTGTGCACATCTGTGTACAAATGGCTTTTCTGCCAACACTGGTTAAACTGGATTTAAATTAAGGGTGTTTGTAAATGAGCCCTTCTCATTCAGTTCTTATATCTATTATAAAACACTTCAGTTTATAAGCGTATTTCAGTTACAATATAGAAGATACTTGATTAAAATACAGCTCTAGCAGGAATAACTGTTGTATATGGAAAGAAATAACTCAGTGATTTTTTTGTGTGTGGCTGAAATGCAATTTTTATGCTTGCTTAATATATAACTTTTACTTTTGTTAATGTTTGACTATCCATCTGCTTCACAATCTTTTAAAAATTGTCCTCCGTTTTAACATTTCACGGTGCATATCTGGAAAAAAAACCCTCTGTTTTTTAAGTTGTGGTTTGTGCTGGGGAGGAGGCTTTATTGTGAAGTATCTTTACACTGTTTTTCTCAGAAATTAAACAGAAATATAATTTGCTACATTATATTGTTTTCTTTGCCATCTTTCTTGATGGATAAGAATGAATGGCGCTTCACTGTCTTCAATAAAGGAGTAAATTGTCCAAAAGGATGCTCACTTTCTTTGCCTGAAAAGGGATCTTCAGCATAATATAATAAGGTTCAGATAAGAGACATTTTTAGGTCACTTCCTAAAGAATGTCCTAAAAATGGAAAATAGAAGAACAGGAGAAAATATTTGGAAATTGATTTACTTCTGATTTTACACTCAGGAATCCTTTGTTCTCCAAAAAGCTAAACTTAAGCTGCTTGTTTGTGGTGCCACCAGCTATTATCTTGGTCAGTTTGGCTGGAAAATGGCTATTCATTACTGAATACAGTACACTTTACACATTAAGCAGTGTATGTATAATGTAATATTACAAATAAGTATTTAAAACAGATCAGTTCACTGTTACCTTTTAAGTGTAATATGTAGTGACTTGCCTTCTGATTCTCAAGTAATAATTTTCCATTTTTGAGTTTATCTGAACTGTAAATTTGAAAATGCTACATCAGTCAAGAAGCTACCATCTGAGGGCTCTAAAGTTTCTTTCATCTTTTCCATATTCAGATATGCATATCAAATTTGCTTAAAGAGATGAGCTGAGTGTTTGGTGCATTCAGGATAATTTTAAAAAACAACATTAACATCAAATATAAAATTTAAATTATAAGATTTAATCATGCAAATGTTGATATTTAAAGAAATATTTTTAAGAGCATATGTTTTTGTAAAATGGCATTAATTTATATCACATTTGTTTACCTCTCCCTCAAGGAAGTAGTTTACAGTTAGGCATGAAACCCGCAACAGATGGCTCATATTGTGGGACTGCTGCAACCGTACAAACTCACAAATCATAGAAACTGCAAGTTAGATAGGTTCTAACGTGCACAGATTCAGATTTAGATTGCTCTTAAAAGTAATTGTTTCCAGAAGTCACTCTCAATGATTTCATCGTGAAAGACAGTTTAAACTTTTAAAATGTAATATATGAAATCAGTTGTTATTACTCTTTGAAGTTAACACTACGTACAATGTTCCTTCAGGGTGAATGCCAGTAAGTTTGTGCAGCTACCCTTATTAAAATATACAATTCTTTTAATATCTTGGAATTCAAAATAGTCCTTTTCTGGCCTCATAAATTGTTCTGGAGCAAAAGTAATATAATTTATTTTATAAGTTGTTCTGGAGCAAAAGTAATATAATTTATTGCTTATTAATATTTACATATTTACTATTAAATGCTCGTTTTAAAATATATAATTCCATTTATGTAGCTATAAAGAAATAAATTATTTGAAGGTGACAACTCAAAGATTATTGGGCAAGTTTTAAAGAATATTTTCTGACTTTAAATAAAACATAGTTATATCTTTTTGAAATAATACATCCAATTTATTGGATTTATAGGAGGAGACTTATAAATTCAACTGTTCCTAAATTTTTGTGTTCTGTCCTACACATGCAGGATTTGGGGCATGATTGGATAGCATGTTCAGATATTGCATATATTTGTGTTGGAGTCAAGAACCTTATATTTCTCCATACAAACTGAGGCCCCAATCTGACATGTGTATACATATGCTTAATGCTAAACTCATGAGTATTGCTTATAGTTGATCATAAGCATAAGTGTTTGCAGGATTGGAGCCTAAGAAGGAATAAAGAATTGCACAACATGCTTGCTCAAAGTTGACTTTATTTGTTGGCCTCATGTTAAGAGAGTCTTACTTCTTTTATGAGGCATAAATGCTGTTTGGTATAATTGTCAACTTTTCAGTGTCCTGTTAGGCTGTGAATATTCTTTTGACTGATAGACTGCAATAATGCACAGCTGCTGCTCTCCAGTATGTGGTTCCATCAAATGCCCAATAAAAAACTAATTTAAATGTAATTATATTTTGAGTTACTTGAAATTGATTATACTTCACACTGATGCTCTGATTCTATAAAAGAATTTTACGAATTTCAGACTTCTTTAGTTGTAGTTTATTGTTCAGGAATACTAGGGGCCTGCGCCCTCTGCTCGCTGTGCTCGCCTATGCCCTCTCTGGCCACTGTTGCTTTGCTGAGAGAGCCTGTTGATGCTGATGACGTGATGACGTCATTCTGTTGCCCAGCAGGAACATTCTGTCATCTGGCAGGAAAAGCTTTTTTACGTATATAGAGAGAGTGGGGCAGAGAAACTGGTTTCTTACCAAGCACTTGTAGAGAATTGTAAATGGAAAAGACTGTTTGAAGAAATAGGCTGGGGAGACGGGGAAATTTAGGATTAATTCGAGAGCAGAACAAACAGGACAAAAAAAACCCAAGCCCTGAGTAGCGAATAAGACACGGTCACAGAAGCATAATGAAGAGTGCACTGTGTCATAAGTGGTCCATAAAACATTTTTTTATTATTAGGCTATTTTTTGTCATCATGATTATTAAATGTAGGGAATGATTTGGGATTAATAGAATATACTTTGCTACAGACAAGAGCACATTTATCAGAATAACCATTCTCTTTAAATGTACAAATATAAAGCTATTCTGTTCACTAGTGATACTGAAGCACATTGTTGCTTAATTAAGTAGGTGTTCAAGAAATCGACTTTCTATACATTTGATTTTAAATAAATATTCGGGTTGTTACTCCTAATATTTTATGGGGATATGCTGTGGATTCTTAGATTTGGCTGTTATATGTTGAAAACAAATCATAATGCAATAGCATAAAGCTAAAAATTACCAATTGGTATTTTTCTCATAAAAGACCAGTGCCAATATCATTTTTTATATTAACCATTTTCAGATAATTCAACATTCTGGGATAACACATTTTAAATATAGTATGTCCTGATTTTTTTTAAACTTTGAAAAGCAAACAGAAAACTTTTTCCTGTCCCCTTAGTGATATTCAGAAGTGGTTTTAGATGGGACAGAAATCAGTAGTGGAGCTTACCCATCTTTCTTCCTATTGCCCAGTGCTTGATTACTAGTAACAGCAGCAACACAGCTGAAACTAAATATCTTCTTGAAATGCCTGTGGAAGAACGTGTGTGTGAGCCACCCAACAGTGGTGCATGGTCATAATGTGATAATAATTATACTAGTAATAAATGAGATAAGTGTAACAAACCATGACTGAATCAGAAGAACTAAATATTTACAAAATGCTATAATATTTGCAAAGGCTCTGATCCTCCAAGCCAGAGGTGGGCAAAAGGGCCTCCACGGGCCAGATCTTGCCGCTCTTGTGCCCTCAGGCCAATCAGGGCTTGGGGACTGGGGAGAGCGCAGTCTCTTCCTCCACCAGTACATTATACATTTCAAAAGCTGTAGCCCCACAGTGAGCGCGGGCCAGCAGGAGACTCTCCCACTGGCCCTGCGCTTCCTGCAGTGCCTCAGCCTTTGGAACATACAAGAGCCCCAGTGGACATGTACATTCCCAGTGGAAATGTACATTTCAAAAGGAAGCCACGCAGGGAGCGCAGGGCCAGTGGGGGGGAGTTCTGTGATAGAGGCAGCAAGGTGGAGAAGCAACTATTTGCATCACTAGTGGACTCTGGTAAGCTTATGCTTATCGGATAGTCAACGAGTCTCTTACATCCCTACTTGTAGTAATAAGATAAGGATGTGTTTGACTGGAGGATGAGATCCAAAGTAAATATAGGAAAAGCTAGAAAACATTTTTTCTCTACTCTCTGTTATCATAGTCTAGATGCTATTTGTAACAACAGTAGGTACACATTTTTCAGATTGTGATTTTGTCAGTATTTCTATAAATTAACAAATTACCCTCCAGAAAACTCAAGTGATTTTTCCCCCTCCCCGCAAAACTCCTTGAAGTTGTTTGAGAAGCCATAAGTATTGTACCTCATTATTTTGAGTATTTGATTTTTTTTATATTGATATCTTAGAGCTAGTATATAAGCAATTCATTTCTGCACTTAAATATCATTTAAAGAAAAATCTTCTTGGTATCAGTTCAATGCTGTGCTCCACAGGAATTGTGTCTATTTTTTCATGCTGATAAATGCATTCTGGGTAGAATTTCAACATTTCAGAAAGTAATGTTTCTGAAGCACAGTGCCTATTTTGTAACAAAATAGAATAATTAGAAATTTTTTAACTCCTTAGTGAAGAAAAAAACTCATTTTGAGGGTAGTACTATATGACGACTGCTACAAGCCACTTCTGTATATTACCAGCAACTAATTAGAAACTGCAGGATCATAGCCAATGTGTGTTAAGGCAGAGTAAAAAAATTCCTACCCTTTGTTTAATTGTTAATTCAGAGGTTAATTTAAATAAGCAGTATTTAGGTGTTCAATATATCTTCTTTATTCTAAATAGGTTGATCGTATTACTGAAATAATGCTACAGTTTAGAAGTATGTCAAAATAAAAATGCAAAGCAATATAGTAAAAATACTTCTTCAGTTTGCATCTTCAATCTCGATTTCCTTGTTAAAGTTCTAGTAAAATGATACCCACCTTTGCTTTTTTAGGTCTGCTTTTCAATTTTCAGGGAAACGTATTAGAATGAGAGAGGTCTTAGCCAGGTGATGTAACTTAATTAAAATGTGACTTTGCAGATTTCTAATGTGTTTTACTGGTAAATCAATAGCGTTGACTATCTTATTTCAATAAGAAATATGGTAGTATGTCATCCTATAAATTATAATATTAGGACTTGCTTCAGTAAACCCACTTAAACGCCTGTGTAACTATAAGCATATGAGTACTCCAATCAATAACTACTCATTTGCTTAATGTTAGGCTTGTTTTCAAGTGTTTTGCTGGGTTGAGGATTTAATAAGGGTATGAGAAGTTTACATTTTCACAACAGTTTACTTTTCTAATTCCGTGCTTAAGCAGGGCATTTTGTTAGTGTTTAAAAACAAAACTTGCTCTAGCTTTCCAAATACCTTTTGTTATAAAGAAAATTTAGAGCCCTCTATTTGTAAAAGCATCCTTGTTTGCATACTCTCTGAATATATTACTTTAAACTTGTATTTTAATAAAACATAGACTCCATTTTGTTTGAAAATGTATTACAATTTATTTCTTGCCATTTTTGTGTAAAATTTACAGAAACAGTGTTACATCGTGCGCTCCAAAGGTAATGTCTCATTCCTCTAAGGCTCTGTCCTTTTTTCTTTTCTTCTCTTCCTGTTTTTCTCTTTCTTTCTTGTCTTTTTCTGATCATGTTGTTATGTGCATTGAATCCTGTGCTAATACTGAAGTCCTTTTAAAAATACACTTACTTTATCAGAAGTATTCTTCTGTATGTCAATATTTATAATCAGTTTACTAGTTATCTTCACTGATTCTATGGTCACTTTTTTCTGTAAATATTAATTTGGATAATACTATCTCTTATGACAGCTTTTGAAGTTTATTAAATTGTCAGTAAAATAAAGTTCTCTGTATGAAATTAAATGTTTCTTGGGGATTGAATTCTATTCACAGGTATGGATGGACAGATCTTACTTGCTGTTTTCGAAAAGTGATAGTGCAAGAAATGAGACATTTGAAAAGGGAGCCGACAAGATCGCCGGGCCCCTGAGCAATGTGGGGTTGGAGGAGGCTCCGCATTCCCAGAAGGGGCAGGGCATCAGGCAAAAAAGAGCAGGGCTGGGACAGGCCCCCTCTTTTCATAGAATCCCAGGACTGGAAGAGTCCTCAGGAGGTCATCGAGTCCCAAGGCAGGACCAACCCTAACTAAATTATCCTAGCCAGGGCTTTGTCAAGCCGGGACTTAAAAACTTCTAGGGACAGAGATCCCACCACCTCCCTAGGTAACCCATTCCAGTGCTTCCCCACCCTCCTAGTGAAATAGTTTTTCTAATATCCAACCTAGACCTCCCACACTAACTTGAGACCATTGTTCCTTGTTCTGCCATCCGTCACTACTGAGAACAGCCTCACTCCATCCTCTTTGCAACCCCCCTTCAAGAAGTTGAAGGCTGCTATCGAGTCCCTCCTCGCTCTTCTCTTCTACAGACTCTTCTCTTTTCCCCTGGCCAGACCTCAAAGCCTGCCAGAGTGTGGAGTGTGTCACTCTAACAGCGATTCTAAAAGTCTATGGGGCTCTGGCCAATGCCACAGTAGCGATGGCAGCCAGGAGCTCCGGTCACCTTAGAATAGCTGGGCCCCAAGTGAGTTACCCCCTTTGCCCTTCCTCTCAGCAGATCTTCATATGAAATATTAGCACACATTTTTCAGTTAAAAATTAACTGAAATTTATTAAATCTAATTTGAAGTAGTCTTATGAGGAGATTTCAATGGCAAAATGAGCAGTTGGGTACCCAGCTTCCATTAAAGATCTGTGTGTTGTTCATCTAACTTCCCATTATGTGTTTAAAAATCTCCCCCTTAGCTTTTTCCTGTTTACATCTCACGAGACAGCAAACGATGAAAACTTTTTATGCATTTTGGCAGGGTCAAATTGCCAGTGAAATAAGGGAGGAAAACCTAAATGTGTGTTGCCACAATGGCTGCCCATTTCTTTGTTTATCCAAGACTCTAAAGCCCCATTTCAACAAAGTACCTAAGCCCATTCCTAGTGCTTTACCAAATCTGTATAGACATTTTCTTTCTTGTCATTCAGTAGTCACTAGAATATTCATTCTGTTTTAAACTGTTGCATATTATTGAATTCTAAAAACTTCAGTGCTGGTTTTACTGAAGTAACCGCTTCTTTTAATCTTTGAAAATAGTTATATAATTAAACGTGGTTAAAATAAAATATTTACTTGGATGCAGATTGTTAATGATTTAACTTCTGTTTATCAAACTACAATGACCATAAGAAATTGCTTGTCTGTAGTAATAGATTTCAGTGAGACAGTAAGATGGGTTTATTTTATGAAACAATAGAAGGGACATGCAATACCCTAGAAATTGCTTGTCTGTAGTAATAGAAACAATAGAAGGGACATGCAATACCCTAAAAGAAACTAAATATCTTTTATATAGCAGCTCTTGCTTTGATGTTACACTAGAATGGCATCCTGCACTACATAATGTGTGGGGAAAAGGGAAGTTTGTTATTTGAACACAAATAAAGGTGAGGCATGAATGTTTGGTAGTTTCGTCTTTTGGCAGATGTGATACAGTGCTGCAATGCCCCCATTGATTTTATTGCATGGAATCCTGGCTGCCAATGTAGTTTTGAAATGCGTGATTGATTAAAAAGTAACTTTTCAATGATAGTGAAGTATTGAATTCTTGATGCCAAGTCTGCTTTAAACGAAACCTCAGATGGAACATCTACCCTGAAGCCCCCATGATTTGAAAAGAATTGGTGGAAGGGAAATAGAAAGGGAAAATCATGATTTCTGGGGGTTCAAGGAGTAATATGAGAGGAAATTCATGTAAAGGTCATGTTGATTTTCTAATGAGTAAAATTGTGATGGTGGAAGTATTTTGTTGCTCTTTTTAAGTGATGTCTTTTGTTGAATTTCTGTGTCTAAATAGCACAGTTCCTCTTGCATCTTTTAATGTAGCCTTACTTTGAACAGCGTGAACTTCAATGCAAGTACTATGTTATAATAGCGTTTCTGAACTTGGAAGTAATTTCCTCTCTTCACAGGGAGAGAATTTAAAGAGTGATTCCAACAATCCTTTATGATAATTTTGTAAAAGTAATTTAATTTTATCGCATTTTAAAATTAATATTCTGATCTTGAAGGGAAATAAGAAACATGACAGACTGTAATAGCAAGTAGATGTAGTACTGATGTACTGGCTATAATGCAGTCAGTGACTGTTTCTCTGTTGGCTTCTACATACCCAGCTATTTCTAACTTAAATGAATGGTAGTGCCTATGTGAGGCATTAATTATGGATAATATTAATATCTGCTACTGTGTAGTTGATTCCCTACCCACCAAAGCACTCTACTGCTGTAGGGATGTCTGCAAATTTAATATGTGAGACATAGTATTGTTGTACTGAGTTTATATATATAGATGTATAGATGTATAGATGTATTATTTTGGAAGTTGATTCATGGAGCCAGCAAAGCAGACGGAGAATGAGAAAGTAAGAAAAATGTGCTTTTCTGTATAGTAACTTTGTTTTCCTGTTCTTTTTTGTTTTATGCATTACTTACTAGAGTTCACTTAAAAGTAATAGTTACATTCTTGTACTGTTATAATTTCAGTAGTACTTCACCCACTTTTTCTTATTGCCAAATAGTATAGCTTTTTATTCTTAAAAATGTTACAATGAGATGCATTGGAGTATATATTTATATAGATATTAATACATGAAAAAGTTGTTTATTGCATATGTATGATTATTGTATGTATTTAATGAGATTTTTTTTAAAATGGGACTTGTAAATGTGAATATTAGTGTAAAAATTGAGTACAACAATTCTCTTTATTTAGTTTGATTTTAATCTTTATTTAGACTTTTAACTGGATTTTTTCCACTGTTTTTTGTCTTTTACCTTCACCTTTTTGTTTACTATGCCATTCTGCTTTTTGCCTCTTCATCCGAATTTCTGATTTTTACCATCATATCCATGTTGATGTATGTCAAATAGAACAACAAAACCTGCTCCTCATCTTGATGGGTAAGACTTCTATTTTTCTGATGTACATTAATAACATTTTAAGATTCAGGAATCCATATGTTACATTTCAGTTTAAAAGTGGACAGAACTTAGAAACAAAAAATAATTGATTGTTTGAAAAATTTGGTAGAGGATTGCCACCATTGTAGTATTTGACCATCTTTACAAAATAACCTACATAGGTTAAAAGTAATCAGATTCTGTATTTTTAATTTAGCTTTATGTTCACATCCAGATTTTGTTGTTGTGAATATAGTGCACTTATATTTTCAGAAAGCTTTTGACAAAGGCTCTTAAGCATGAGATAAAAGGGGAAGTCATCTTATGGGTTGGTAAGTGATTAAAAAATAGGAAATAATCGGTAGGTATAAATGGTTTGTTTTCAGAATGTAGAAAGATAAATAGTGGTATCCCCCAGGGGTCTGTTCTGGGGCCAGTAATATTCAACGTATTCATAAATGATCTGGAAAAACGGGTAAACACTGAGGTGGTAGGATTTGCAGATGGTACAAAACTACTCAAAATAGTTAAGTCTGAGGTGGTAGAATTTGCAGATGGTACAAAACTACTCAAAATAGTTAAGTCCCAGGTGGGGATGTAAGGGTATGTCATTCCACGAGGAGTAACGGTAGTTCGAACTAGGAAGCCTAGTTCGAACTACCTAGTTCGTGCCGCGTGTAGCCGCGCGGCACAGGGTTCGAACCAGCAGGGATTTAAAAATGGCGGCGCCCCGCTTATGCAAATGAAGCCCGGGAAATTCAGATCCCGGGCTTCATTTGCAATTGCGGTATGCCTACAATACCCTCCTATTTCGAAATAGGAGGGTAGTGTAGACATACCCTAAGCGACTAGTTGAGTAGTCGACAACCCGATAAGTCTAGGCTTATCGGGTAGTCGAGTCACTACTTGCCCCCCTCTTGCTGCCTCTATATCAGAGGCAGTGATGGGTGGAGCAGGAGCCGGTTAAAAGCCAGTTCCTCCCACCACTGTCTCTTGGGGGGGGTGCAGGGCAAGGGCTCTTTTTTTGAAGAGTGTGGGGGACAGCAGCCATGCGCTCTGGGATGCAGCTAGCTTTTCATCCCGTTCCCCAGATGCTAAAAGAGTGAGGGGAAAGTGCTTACATTCTGTGCATGCCTCTCACACCTGGCTGGTAAAGGGAGTGCACGGCTGCTGCTTCTCCCTACCCCCCAAATGGTGTCTTCGGGCAGGGGAGGCAGAGGTGTAGGGGGGACCCGGCGTGATCTGAGACTGTGCAGTCCCAGCTCATGCCCAGTTCCAGATGCTGCAGCTCTGTGTTGAGCTTCCAGCTCTTACTGCATTTCAAAGACTAAGTCACAGCGGTCTGGGACTGGGTGCAAGCCAGGACAACTGAGTCCCAGCCTTTTAAATGTAGTAAGACTCTTACTACATTGAAAAAGAAGAGCTGCAGTGAACCCCCTTATCAACTAATCAAGTAGTTGATGGAAATTCCATCAACTACTCAATTAGTTTACTAATTGCTATGTAATATCCATAGTCCCAGGCAGGTTGTAAACAGCTATAAAAGAATCTCACAAAACTAGGTGACTGTGCAACAAAATGGGAGATGAAATGTAATGTTGACTAAATGAAAATAATGCACATTTAAAAACATAATCCCAACTATATATATAAAAGGATGGCATCTAAATTAGCTGATACCATTCAAGAAAGAGATCTTGGAGTCATTATGGATAGTTCCCTGAAAACATCCACTCAATGTGCAGCAGCAGTCAAAGAAGCTAACAGAATGTTGGAAATTGTTAAGAAAGGAAGTGGTGTTTACTTCTCATAACACAGGAATTAGGTATCCACAAATGAAATTAACAGGTAGCAGGTCAAAAAGAAACAAAAGCATGTATTTCTTCACACAACGCACAGTCACCCTGTGGAAAGCTTTGCGAGGGGACCTTGTGATGGTCAAGACCAGTGTTTTTCAAAGTAGGCCACTTTGTTTACCTAAAGCAGTGGTTCCCAACCTTTTTCATACCATGGATCAGAAAATCCATTCACAAACTTTAGGCTTCACAGCAGCAGCCCCTGTCTGCATGGTGGCACAGCTCCACACTGGGACTGCCCGTGGTGAGCCTCAGCCTGCCATGGACAAAGGCTACTTCAGAGCAGCTTCCCTTACTCCTTCGCCTCCTGCCGCCTCTGGTCGAGGTGGTGGGTGGGGAGGCGGCACTGCAGAGATGGTGCCGGGGGGACCCAGCTTTTAAGCCAGTTCCCCCCAGCACCAGCTCCTGTTCCCCACCTTGCTGCCTCTCATACAGAGGCAGCAAGGGGGTGGGAGAAGAGAGTGGTTGAGTACTCCATTCGACTACTTGCTTACATCCCTAGTTTAGGCATATAGTCCTATGAAAGGGGAAATAATTTTTTTTAAAAAGCACCTCTGCCTCCCACCTGATTTTGGCGAACAGAACAGAAGGCTCACCTTATTGGGATATCTGTTATCCCCATCTGTCCTTGTATTCCTCCACAGTCTGGCAGTACTACAACTCTGGATTTAACTTCACACCCTGTCCCTATGTTTGCCTCTTGACCCCTTTCCTTCTCCTGTCTCCAGCTGTTTGACACTCCCACTCCACACAGTGAGTTTACACCTCTGCACAGACTGTTCCCATCTGCCCCTCTGAATTGCCTCCTGAACAGAGGGCAGCATATTTTTCCTGCCCTGAACAGGGCAGCAGATTTTCATTCCAGGTGAGGGCAGTGACTTCAATGGATATTACTGAACATGCTCAGTATGAGCCAAGCTATAAATATTGTCAGATGGCAGTTTTTGCCATTTTACCAGCTTTGGAGCCATGACCCTCTGTCCAAACAGCTTTTATGGGCCGTGAGCCATCAAAGGACAGTGGGGAGCTAAGGAGCAGCAGGAGGAGATAAGGGAGTGCCATGATCACCTCAGCATGGAACCGTCTATCCTCTGACCTGGCCGAGGGTGGGGGGAAAGGAGGCGGTGGCAGCGCTAGCATTTAACTGAAGAGGTGCAGGGGATGGGTTCACAAGGATAGCAGAGTACCGTGGTGAAGAAGAGCACAGATTCCCCCCAGTTTCTTGCTTAGCCCACCTCACCCACTGGTGCTGGCTTTGTTTGTCCTAATAAAGTGCACATTGCATATGCAAAGGTGGCTGCTGTTGACTTCCAGAAGATGCTATGCCCTCTTTTTTTAAAATAGTGCCTGAAACCTGGCACTTTTGATAACATGATGTTGGGTTTTTGGAAAGAGGGTTTTACTAGCCCTAAATGTTGGAAATAAACATCCTGATAATACAGGTGGAACTGAATTCTTCCATGTAAGAATATGACTTTCAGTCTACGAAGAATCCTAGCTGTACCCGAATAATTGTATTTTCTGAATCTTGTATTTCTGCAGTGTACATGTTGTCTTCGGATTGGTTATATCTGGTTTTGAAGTAATAGAACAAATAGAAAATCTGAAAACGGATACAGCAAGTAGGCCATATGCAGATGTGCGAGTTATTGACTGTGGAGTGCTTGTTACAAAATCAGCAAAAAATGGTAAGCAAACATGTTGCTTGAAACAAGTTGACAGTTGTGTGAAAAGAATACAATGGTACTCTGGCATTTTAAATTGAGTGTAAAGATGTCTGTTTGAGAATTGGATAATTTTTTCTGAACTGAAGATTCTCTCACTTGAAAAAGGACATGCCCATTTCCTGTCAACATTGTTTACATTTATTTTTGGAAAGTGCCATACTGAACTTGAACACTAATTTATTTCCTTGCATTTAAGAGCTAGAGCTCCGAATGTAGTCATTGGTACTATGCAAACTATAGATCTTTCAAGATACCTAAGCTGTCAACATAAATCTAGTCATGAAATGTTAACAGTTTTTTTCCCCTGAAATTATCTGAGGAAAATGTATGAGGACCAAACTTTACTGTGTATCCCATCATTTGTTTAAGAAAAAATATCCAAACTATTTCTGTACATTTGTTTATAGGCCAAACATTTCATATGGTATCGCATGACCTTCTTATCAATAAACTAGGGAATTATAACCTCGAAGGGGCTACTATAAGGTGGGTGCACAACTGGCTGGATAACCATTCTCAGAGAGTATTTTTAATGGTTTACAGTCGTGCTAGAAGGGCATAACAAGTGGGGTTCTGCAGAGGTCTGTTTTTGGGACTGGTTCTGTTTAATATCTTCATCAATGATTTAGATATTGACAGAGAGTACACTTACTAAGTTTGCAGATGATACCAAGCTGGGAGGGGTTGCAAGTGCTTTGGATGATAGGGTCAAAATTCAAAATGATCTGGACAAACTAGAGAAATTGTCTGAGGTAAATAGGATGAAATTCAATAAGGACAAATGCAAAATACTCCGCTTAGGCAGGAACAATCAGTTCTCCTTTGAGTGGTGTCCCTGTAGGTGCTCCACTCGGGTCTTGGTGTGTCCTTGCACTGCTGATCAGAGATTTTGCCTAGCAGTATCTTCCTTTGCCGTGCATGCACAGTTGCCATCTTGCACTGTTTTTGTCCATTAGGAGCGTGTGCAGCACAATCCTCACTTCCTTTTCTACCATCCATTGCTAAAGACAGAGTCACAGCAGTGCTCTCCTTTCTGACAGAAAATAAAAAAATAGTATAGTTAGTTTGCGAGTTATTAGTGTTAGTTAGTTTATAGTTCATTTTACCCAGTTCTTTATTTGGGGGCAGAGGGGAAACGCTTCCCTGGGTTTTTTTTCCTCTACTCCGTTTCTCTCCAAGTTCTGAATCCTCACATTCGTTCAACATGCCAGGCTCTCCTGGTTTCAAGAAATGTGATTCATGTTGGGACTCATTGCCAGTTCTGATGGACACGCATCCTGTATTAAATGCCTAGGTGAAAGCCACGTTGCACAAAAGTGCCTGAATTTTCAAAACATGATGGCGAGAGCGAGGTAAGACCACAAAATGAGGCTGAAGAATCTCCTCTGGAAGAAATCCCTCCTCCCACCAGGAGATAAGTCCCCAGAGGCATGGGCACACTCAGCGCCCCATGAGAGGGCTAGTTCATTGCCCCACAGAGCCTCTTGAGTGCTGCGGGCTTCCCCAGCACAATCACTGCCCACTACGTCCTGGGCCGCTCATTCCCCGGTGCCATCTACTTCCAGTACGACGGAGAAGCGAAAACTGACCTCAGTTAAGAGAGCTGAGTCAGATCCGAAACAGCACCCACTCGGCACCCGCCGATGTGGCTAACCAACCGGCACTGACAAAACCGGACATGCTGCTGCCTGGCATCCACAGGCACCCTGGCACCGATTGAACAAGCCAGTTCCTAGCAGCCAGAATTAAAGCACACTCTGGCACCGGAGCACAGGAAAGCGACTAACAAGACACACCACTTACAAAAAGCCCCGCACTCGGGTGTACCATCTCCACCGGTGCAGGAAGTAGCTTCACCACACTCTCCAACATTACCTCTCTCTAACCCATATAGACAAACTGTAGAAATGTTTTCTTACTCTCCCACACCATTGTCACCGCAAACTGAACATGGCAGCGGACAGGGGAGTAGATTTTTGTTACACCACTCATCCGCATCAGAATCAGTGGGTTCATGACACTCCACTCAGCACCATCCCTTTAACAACCTCCACAACTTCTGTGGTTTCACCACCCATGGCCATATCCACCACAACAGCTTCAACTCAGTGGCCTCTCTGGGAGTCATGGCACCAATATCGCCCCTGCTCCTCCCATCGCTACCGCCCACGAGATACACTGCCTCTACACCAGCGCATATAGCTACACGGTGTCCGGCTACCAATGCACGTTCGTCACCTTCTTGCCCCCCTCCTTTGGTAATAACCCAGGCAGATCCAGCACATGATGAGAACTTACGTGAATCCAATTCAGAGAGCTCTTTACATGCCCCACAGTCTTCTGCTGCTCTAGACAAAGCAGTTTTCCAAGCATCATCCTCTTCAACAGCAGACGACTTGAAACAATTCCAAGAATTATTCAAATGAGTGGCTCAGTTTCAGGACATTACACTCCAAGAAATGCAAGACAAATAATACAATTTACTCAAAATACTCCAACTGGCTGCATCCTCAAGGATAGCATTACCCATCAATGAGGCTATCATGGAGCCATCAGATGTACTCTGGCAGATGCCAGCCTCTTTCCTCCCCACCAACTGGAGAGCAAATACAAAATACTTTGTCCTGGCAAAAGGGATGGATTTTTTCTTCTCACATCCCTACCCAAATTCATTGGGCTCAGCAAGAATCAAAACACTCTCAATAAAAGTCTACACCTCAAGAGAAGGAACACAGATGACTGGATCTCTTCAGCCAGAAAGTATACTCCTTTGCCACCCTCCAGATCAGAATATCACATTACACTGCCCTGCTGGCTAACTATGATCATGCTAATTACTTCAGATTACAAGATCTCTTACAGGACCTTCATGAAAACAGGAGACTTCATCTCTAATCCATCGTCAAAGAGGGCCAATCCATAGCAAAAACAGCTCTCCAGGCTGCAATGGATGTGGCAGATACAGAAGCTAGGACCACCGCTATAGCAATAGTAATGTGCACAGAATTATGGTTACAATCATCGGGAGTTCCAAAAGAATTAGAGAAAAGTAGAGGATCTCCTCTTTGATAGGAACCAGTTCACTACAAAAACAGATGAGGTGTTATGCTCAATGGAAGATTCCTGCACCACACTGCATACTTTAGGCATGTACAACCCACCTAATAAAAAACACAGATACACCCCATACTAAAGACCAAGAGACTTGAACTATCACAGGCCACAGCAGAGGCCATATGACAACAGGCCCAAGCAACATCCCAATAGAAGGAGGACTCAACGCAACCAGTTCAAGGAGTGTGCAGCGCTTGGGCAGGGCGGGAGGAGACTTTGCACGCTACCCTCACCCCAAGCCCTCTCTTGGGGGGGGAAGAGTAGGGGCAAAGATTTCATACGCTCTCCCACCCCCAGATCAATCAGGATCTTTAGGTGGGAAAGCACAGAAGTGTCCTGTCCTTACCCCTTCCAAAGCAGCCTGGGGCCACTTCAAAAATTTCTGTGAAGTGGCTCCCGGTGAAAAATTATTGCCCACCCTGATCTAGATGATACTTCATCCTGCAGTGAGGGCAGGGGACTGGACTTGATGACCTCTCAAGGTCCCTTCCAGTTCTAGTGTTCTATGATTCTATAAGATTTGACTTTTCTCAAAATGGTTAAAAGGTGTGGGTAGGCCTATCATTTCTAAATATTTTTCCTTCCATCCATCCCCTTCCTCCTCCTCAACCAATTCTCCACAACTTCATTGAATTTAATCAAAACCTCTTGCCATTTTAGTGAGAGTACACCAATATATGGTATGCAGCGTTCCCTCAATGCTCTGCAAAACCTGTGCAAAGTACATTGGTTTTGTATGCAAAATGAACTAAAAGCCATTGTCATAAGGTTTCTGAAATTACTGGCAATAAACTACAATAATAAATTTGTCAACTTGGGGAAAAAAAACTGGCTGTGTGTGTTTAAACTGGGTCCCTGTAACTTTTGTTGAGTGAAATATAAGATTTCATTTAAAAAAAAGTGCAAAATTGTGAAGAGTTATGGAATGAGAAACAACAGATGGGCAGACAGTATATTAAAATATTTCACATGCTACTGGTCCCAGGAAGAGACATGGAGGGATCTTTGAATTGGAGGGGGAGTCTTTCTTATCTGACTACTGGTTCAGTGGCTTCTTCTTTGAGTGGTATCCTTGTGGGTGCTCCACTCAGGTGTTGGTGCAGCCTACCACTGGAGATCAGATATTTTTACCCTAGCAGTGCCTTCCCACACCACTCATGCACAGTCGCTGTCTCGTGCTGTTGTATCTGTTAGCTGCACACGTGGCACAAGTCCCTCCGTTCCTTTTCTACCATCCTTGGCAGAAGACAGAGCTCCTCAGGAGTGTGACCTCTTCTCTAAGGCTGTGTCTAGACTGCAGGCTTCTTTCGAAAGAGCCTCTTTCGAAAGCATCTTTCGAAAGAGCCTCTTTCGAAAGATCGCGTCTAGACTGCAGGCGGATCTTTCGATAGAGGAAATCCGCTTTTTCGAAAGAGAGCACCCAGCGAGTCTGGATGCTCTCTTTCGAAGACGGCCTCTTTACATTGTAGAACGCCTTCTTTCGAAAGAGGAACTTTCGAAAGAAGGCGTTCTTCCTCGTGAAACGAGGTTTACCGCCATCGAAAGAAAAGCCGCGTTCTTTCGAAATAATTTCGAAAGAACGCGGCTTGAGTCTGGACGCAGGGGAAGTTCTTTCGAAAAAAAGGGTACTTTTTTCGAAAGAACCCCTGAGTGTGGACACGGCCTAAGAGATTTAAAAAAAAACAGCACTTTATTCTTTTAGTCACCCTTAATTATTTTTTTCTTAGCTTAATCTGTTTGCCCAAAAAGAAAAGGGTTTTTTCCCTCTCCGCCCCTCTCCCATTTGTTTGAAATGCTGGGCTCCCTGC